ATATATATATAGGCCATAGGACTTATATATCTTCTAGAGTTCACACATGGAACTTAGGCCACACCGCCATTGTCAAATCCAACCATATTCGTGGCTTTACCTATTTATGCAAGGGATATCGTTATATGAATTCGCATCCAATGTTAATGCAATAGGCCTTACATTATAAGATGCTTATTATTATTATTATTGCATCTAAATATTATAAATATTATGTTTTCTTTAAATTTTTTTTTTTTTTTTGTTTCTTCATTGGAAATGATATTTTCTTAGTCATCGTTGAGCATTCTAAACAAAAAAAAAAAAAAAAAAAAGGGCATGAATCTTCTTAATTTTTTTAATTTTTTTATTTCATATTTCCAACACAGATTTGACCCTAACTTCACCAATCGGCTCTATATATTTAACCCTGAAGATTAGGGGTTGAGATGCAAAAAGTTTATGTTCCATAAGTGATCGATGTTAATTAGTTACTTAAATCAAACTCACTTATTAGAATTCTAGCATTTATTTCTACTTTAAGTTGGGATATTACACACACGCATAATAATTAATCTTTTCTTTTGTCGTATATTACCTATATATGCTGTGTTTTTTTTTTCTTGGAAAAAATGCTACGTTTCTTTGCGAAAAAAGAATCTATCGTTTGTTCGTTCGTCCATTTCTAATTTCTTTCTTTCTTTCCATTTTGAATAGAAATATTTCATCGTGGTCATGACATTCAAAACCATAGAGAAGGAAAAAAAAAAAAATCTATCATCTATACCAAGTCAAATTACTTAAAGAAAAAGCGACGTGCTAGCCATCTATTTGTATAAAATTTATAACTTCTAACTTGAAGAATTTGACATTGCCTATTTTCCCATTCATCTTCCTTAAAAAATAATAATAATAATAATAACATTCTTAGCAATGATATATAACATACTTATATTCAACCTCAGTCGACAATGATTGTAGGTTAAATATGAATGTCATTGTAATAAATTGCGAAACTCCCAATCTCTCATTGCTTATTAAGTCTTTTTAAAAGATATTTGATTCATAAATTGAGAATCATGATTTAAAATTATTTTTAATTTACGTGTGTTTTTTTTGAGAAAAAACACCGTAGAGAGTCATGAATTATGATCTGAACTATTATATGAATTTTTACTCTAAACGCACAATAAAGTTTGACCGTGTTTGCTGATTTAGAATTAGTCATATGTGTTTTTTTTTTTCTTTTTTTTTTTTTTTTTTTTTTTTTTTTTTTTTTTTTTTTTTTTTTTTTTTTTTTTGGAGAATGAATTAGTCATATGTTAGTTTAACCAAAAGTCAACACATCTCAGCATGATCTCTTTAGGCACGTCATGGCTGACATTTCCAAGTGAAAGGAGTCTACTATACTTTAAAGGATTTTGAAAAAGAGTCCAATTATATTATTTTTTACACCAGCCATTTAACGCTATCCTTACGGGCAGAATAACGTACCATACAAATAATGTATCAATTTATCAGCTTGATGATTGATTAATTGAGCTAATAAAAATTTGTGTTTTTTTTATTGACACGTTAAAATAAGTGATTTTAATTATGAATTCAAATTTTATAAAAGAATTTATTGAGGAAAGCTTTTTTTTTCTTTTTTTTTTTTTATAAGAGAACAAAATTAGAATAATGGCTTCAATTCATAGAACTAAACGGGAAAGATTTCAATATTTAGATGTTTCTAGTCCATATCAGTTGAAAACACGTTGGAAAATTATAATGGCAAAGAAGTGATGGTTTTGTAACTGACCATGTTGCGTATTATATCTTTGGGTTGTTTGGGTAATTGGGTTTAAATATGTTTTCTTTTTCTGTGACAAGAAAAATAGGAAAAGAAAGCAAAATTGGAGTTTCTCATGTTTTTTTGGTTTGGGATTTGATGCGGTTGGTTTGGTTTGGTGGGTCACACTATTTTTGTAGGGTTTCCAATTTGCATCTTGCCACGTAATCCCACATGACTTTTAAACCCCACATTAAAATTTTGTTCCGACTTGTTCAAACTGAATTAAAGAGACAACTGTGCAATTTCATGTGTTTATTTTTTGTGTTATGCACACAAGATGCTTGACGAATTGCCCAGCAATTGTAAGTAGACAGTTGGGATAGTTCAATTGGTTAGTTTAGTCAACTTGGGAGAAATGTGAAGACAAAATTAAGACTTGTTAGAAGAATTTTTTAAACATGTATGATTTATATATGATTGAACTTGTGATATTTGGCAGATTTATAGAGAAATATGGGACTCACATAGTAGTAGGATTGAGCATTGGTGGTCAAGATGCGGTGTTAGTTAAGCAAGATACATCTTCTGACTTGGGACCCTCTGACCTCAAAAAACACTTGGATGAGCTTGGAGATCAGCTCTTTAATGGAGCATGTAACTTCTCTCCATTTCTCTCTAAAACCAAGGAGAACAAACAAAAGGTTGGCAGTTAATTCAGAAATTTGTTTAATTACCTTTTTTTTTTGTTAAGTAACTTGTTTTAGTTATATTGAAATTTTTTTTTTTTTTTTTTTTTTTTTTTTTTTTTGGGCCCGTAGGCACCGCGGGCATTTAATGTGTTCGATCCTCGTTCCATTGCTGTTACTAGCTTCACGTCCATAAACACAAAAGATGTAGGTTTGATCATATATAACATCGAAAGTTTTACTAAGTTATCGATGACAATAAGTCACGTTAACGTTAAGAAGCAGTAGTACATTTCATTTTCCCAAGAGTTATTAGCACTTAACCCCTGAACTTTTCATGCTTTGATATATTTCCCTTAAACTTTTAATTTGGCAATTAACCCCCTTCAATGTGGTCCAAAATAATAACCCGATTTAGAATGTTGACATAAATAAGAGAGTTAATTGCCACGATTAAAAGTTAAGGAGTAATTTGCCAAAGCGTGAAAAAATATAGGAGGTAAAGTTCCAAAAATATGGAGCGCACATCAGTATTTACAGTACCAATTTTAATGGTATCACCAATTTTGGTCAAATTGTAATGGCTTAACAAGTTAGATGGCTAATTGTGAAAAGTAAAAATTTAGGGAGTAATTTACTAAAGCACGAGAAGTTTAGGGGGATATTAATTAAAATGGAATTAGTATTAGATGCAGAAAATGGAAATGAAAGATCCATAAAAAAAGAACAAAGAATAGAAATGAAAGAATATGAAGGATACAAATTTACTAGTGCGGTACGTTTTGCTTTGAGTTTTGTTAGTAAAGGTGCATAAAATGTCTCAAGTGTGTGCATATAGAGTGGCAATTTGCACATTAATGTATTAATTACAGGTGAAAATTGATAGTTATCTACCATGTTAATTTGAGTATGCCTAAGTAATTGGTTTTTTTTTTTTTTTTTTTTTTTGGGTAATAATAGTAATTGGATTTTGAACAAGTGAAGCTCATGTTATTTGGCATGTGCATGTGATTGTTCGAAGAGTTTTTTTTTTGTTTTTGTTTTTTCAAAAATACATGTTGATGAAAACAACTCAACAACCAATCAAATTGTCCAAAAAATAATAGAGACTGATATAGATCAACATATATGATTTTCAGGGAATTACTGTGATATGTTCAAAAAGGGGAGGGGATCCATCAACCAGTAGCCATTGCGAGTGGCTTCTAACGGTTCCATCAATGCCAGATGCAATTGATTTCACCTTCATTCCCATCACTTCTCTTCTTAAAGGCGTTCTGGGAAAAGGCTTCTTGTCTCATGCCATGAATCTCTATCTTCGATGTAAGCCTCCAATCCTATACCTTGTCTCTTTCTTTTTCTAGTAATTTTGTCCCAAGAACAAATGTGTTCAAAGGTGTTGAATTTATCTTTGTTAGGCACTCATATGACCCATCTCATTTTTCGAATAAATCTCATTCGCTTAATGCAAGGATGGAACATAGAGAAAATTGATGAACTTATTCTTAAACGGCATGAGTTTAGATTTTATCCTTTATTTTTGATGCTTTTCTAAATAATATAGTTACTTGACAAAGAAGGACATTAATCAAGAGTGAGAGGTACTTATGCACTTTAAGGACAAATTTCCCTTAGAGTATACGAGTTTAGATTTTTACTCCTTACTCTTAATAAATGTCATTTTTAGCCAAATAACTATATTAATCAAAAGAGTATTAATTAAGAAAAATGAGCAAAAATTCACGCGTTTGCACTTTAAGGATAAGTTTAACAATTTTTCTATCCCCATCAACATAGGTCCAGAGAGTTTGGAGCCCCATGTGCCCAACCATTAAAGCTTTTTAAAATTTTGTTATTTTTACCTTTTCTTTTAATTATCTTACCCCCTCCATTTTTTAAATTTCAAACTGGATACAAAATGTGTGAAATTTTTTTTATCTACATCCTTAGTTTTCACTTTTAACTATATCCTATTACTTTTTCCTATTTTTATTTTTCTAGTATCCGTTGTTTCAAATTTAATTGCCCAAATACATATTTGAGTTAACTCAACTCCCTTAAAAGAAGTTTTCTTTTTCTTTTTTATCCCTAACTTGATGAGCTTCCTGAAGATCAAATATCCATAATCAAGGAACACACTTTTTGTTTTATATTTGAGAAAATTACAAATTCTTCTTTTTTAAGTACATGACTTAATAAAAATACTCATTTTCAAAAACTCTATTGCTTAACTAGTTTAAGTCTAAAAGGAGAAATATATGAACAAATATTTAAGGGGTAGAAATTAAAAGAGACTCTACCTCAAGGTGTAATTTAAAAAAAATTTCCCTTTATATTTCTTTTATGGACTTGTTCCTTGTCAACCTAACATTACAAAAATTCACGTATTGGGTGCAGACAAGCCTCCTATAGCTGATTTAGAGTACTTTCTAGACTTTCAATCACACAAGGCTTGGGCACCCATTTACAACGATCTTCCTCTGGGGTCCACAACAAACAGGGCTACCAAATCACCAGCAATCCGCTTCAACATCATGGGTCCCAAGTTGTATGTAAACACTAATCAGGTACTCATTGTTTTGTGCCCCAAAGAAGTTTTTATTGATTGTACTTCTGGTTGTGCCGAAAGAATCAAAAACTGGCATGTTATAATCATCAGGTTATTGTTGGAAAAAGGCCAGTCACTGGAATGCGCTTCTATCTTGAGGGCATGAAATCCAATAGGTACTATAAATTCCCTGCTAATTGGCTAATCTCAAGATCACTTTCAGTTCTGGGACATGGTTAGACTAAGCCGTACGTGTCGTTCATTTATAACGACTTTTCTACCGTAACTTTCGTAAGAGGTCTCTCCAATGTAATATATACAAGTGAAAAACGTAACATGAAATTACTGAATGTATCATTGACATTGCATAAATTTAGCTATCCAAAAACTATGTTATACATCTCCAACGTATAATCTATGTCATGTTATGTTTTTCATTTCTACATATCACGTTGCTGGAAATTTCCCACTGAAGAGACCGTACACATAGTATAGCCTATATACATATTCATGGATGCCGAGATTTCACCACCTCAACTATATGTTACCATCAAAATTAAGTCCTAAGAAAATAAGCAGAAAAAAGCTATCTTAACTAAGTCATATGACAACACATTTGATTTTTTTTTTTTTTTTTTTGGGTGACACTAATGATGTTACAATGAAACTTCTCTGTTGCAGGCTAGCCATTCACCTCCAGCACCTAACAGACCGTCCAATTATGTTCCAAAACAAGATTGAAGACACAACAACATGGCGCGCATCGGAAGACATAGCCGATCATGATCAGTACTTGGAACCTATCCACGGGAAGAAGTTCTCCCACATTTGTACAGTACCTATAAAATATGACACCCAATGGATCACCGAGAAAAAGGCGGCTTTCATCGTCACCGGAGCTCAACTCCTTGTGAAGAAACAACAATCGAAAAGTGTTCTTCATCTTCGCCTCTTGTTCTCCAGGGTCCCGGATTGTGCTGTCGTTCAATCTAGCTGGAGGGAATGCTCTTCGACATTTTCTCAGAAGTCCGGCTTTTTCTCTGCCATAAGTATGACGTTCTCAGGTAGCAATCAAATAGTCAAAGAGAAAGAACCAGCCGTAATTGTGGATTCCGCCGTCTACCCGACGGGGCCTCCGGTTTCCCAGCACGCGCAAAAGCTTCTCAAGTTTGTTGACACATCACAATTATGTAGTGGACCACAGGACAGTCCCGGGCATTGGTTAGTCACTGGTGCTAGATTGTCCTTGGAGAAGGGCAAGATAGGTTTGCATGTAAAATTCTCCTTGTTAAACTTCTCTAAGAAAATTTGGTCATAAATCATAATCAAAGGAATAAAAAAAAAATTAGAAAAAGTCTTAAACAGCTTGCGTGTTGTATATATTCAGGAAGCTAATTTCCCATGCTACATCAAGAAAGTCCATAAAAACTATATTTACAATTCTTTGTAGGAGCTGATGGATACTAAGAAACCTAGGTTCGAGATTGTTGTGCTTTTGACAGAAGCAACATTTACTTATGTAGAGAAAGGTATAAGTAGAAGCATAAGATAGCAATCTAGCTTCTGAAAATAATCGTAAAAGTTTCAATAAGAAACTGAGAAGTATTCAGATTAAAAAAAAAAAAAAAAAGAAACTGAGAACTAGTTCTAGACTAAGAAAAATATGACAGTAAGGAGAGGGAGGAAAGAAATATAGAATATAGAATACCAGTTCTTCACGTATTAAAGAGTTTGGGGTTAAGATTGTAAATAAGGATTTATTAGTTGATAGTTTGTAAATAAGACTAAATAGGTAGTAGTTTTTCTTATTTTTATTTTATGATGAGCTGGAGGTTTGTTGCAACAAACCTCTGCCCTCCTCGTTTCCAGGGTGTATAAGGACCACCACTCTCTAGTTTTCCTTCCTAAGAATGCTTCGCTCAAGTTTTTCCCTCAAGCCATTTTCGTTTCTTTTGTAATATGGTATCAGAGCGTTAACCCTCTGCGAATCTCTAGAAATTTTTCTTCCATCTGTCTAATGACTAGGGCCGGCGGAAATTCCGGCAATCGTGTGGTCATTGGGTCTTCTACTCCATCGGCCATGGAAGATTCAGCGAGCCCATATTTCCTTCACAACGGAGATCACCCAGGAATCGTTTTGGTTTCTAATCCTCTCACTGGATCCAACTACAACACCTGGAGCCGAGCCATGATTATGGCCCTGACCGCCAAGAATAAGATCGGGTTTGTCGACGGGAGCATACCTCGGCCTGAAACTGACGATCTACTCTCCGGCGTGTGGATACGCTGCAACAATATTGTAATACCCGAGATTTAATTAAGCATTAAGCCAATAATAAATAAATTTTGTAAATTAAAATCATGCACCACATTTACCATTTACCTCAAAGTTATTTGTTGGCATTATATTTTATTATTATAGCTATCATATGATTTTATTAAACTTATAGCTTTGCTAATCGAGTTTTCAGTTTTAATGTGCAGTGCAACTAGCTCGATGTGAGAACTCAATGTGCTAAATTTATGAAGAAAAATGATATTTATTATGATTATTTGATATGATATTTTACCTCTATTATGATTGATTTAATGATGAATCATTATTTTATATTTTTATTATATGGTTTTATGTAAATGTGTTGAGAATTTAGTTGCTATTTTGAGTTTTTGTGAGAGAAGGCTATGTTAGCAAATTGAGTGAACTTTAGGCACCTAAATGAAGAAGAAAAATAGAGACTTTAGAGCTGATTTTATGAGGTTAGGACAACTATTAGAGGCTTAGAAAAACTTAGACACTTATTCTATTATAAGGTCACTTTACTTTTGCTCGGTTTATATCAAGTTTAGACTTCATTTTTGGGTTTATTTCAGCAAAAAACCCTAGAACTCCGACCATAGCACTTTCTTCTCTCTTCTCACTCCTTTTCTCACCCAAAACTCAGAATCAAACTTAGGTTTTTAAGAGAGAAAGAGCTAAAGACTCAACCAGCCCATCTCAACTCGTTTTAAACCTAGAACCAAAAATAATCACCAAGTTTTGAGCTTCTATTCACTTGGGAACACGTTTTTCTTTGAGGTAACTTCTTTCTTATGTTAGGAACTAAGATTTTAGAGATTAAGATGTTGAAATCCTACTTGAGATTCGGATTTTTGATGGGATTTATCATGCATGTTGGTTGTAGACTCTTAAAAATGAGTTTCTTGAGGTTTTGGTTCAAATATTGGTTTCTGGGTGAAATTGGTGATATTAGCTTGATATTATTGATGATTATTTGAAGATAAACTCTTATTAAGATGATGATTCATGTATTTGAGAGTGGTCTTTGAAGATTAAGATCTGCATGCTAGGTATTTGATGAAATGTTTAAATATAAGTATTCTGTACAGCCTATGTAGATTATGTTTCCGTGCTATATATACTTATGATTTTGACAGATCTTATATTTTTCTATTAAAGTATACATCTCAAGCTTTACGTGAGTTTTTGAATCACTCTAAACGGATTTTTTTTACATTTAGTTATGAATTTTATAAGTTCAATTAAAAAGCTTCCATTTTCCTGACGAGATTATACTTCAATCTGGATTTCGGGCTGTTTTTGATTAGTATGAAAAAATCCAGTATGAAAAAATCCAAAACCTATCATGTAGTATCTCTAAAAAGAGGGTTTTGAGTCTACTTTTATTTGCCACTGGTCTCATAATATTTTGAGTTTTGATGAATTTGTTATGAATATTTTCGTAACAATGCGTAGTTATGTGTTTTGTTAAATGATAATATGAATGTGATTTTTGAAAGCTGTGGTTTTTAAAGGTTAATTAGCACATTGAAGGCTCCCCACAACCAGCTAGTTTATGCTTGTAAAGTGGTTATCAAAATTCAGGTAAGTAGAGTTAAAAACATTTTCAAAACTACATCACAAGACCCTATATGATTATGTTCAAAGAGTATTCATGATTAATTATTTTGAAAGAGATTATGATATTTGCTTATTATGTTTTTATGTTTTAAGAGATTTTATGGTATGGTATATAGATGAGAGGCTAGGTAAGCAAGGGTGTGAGAGACCGGTGCCCCAAATTAGAAAAACTGTCTCTTTGAGACAATTAGAGAAAAATGCTAGTGGGAAGTCTTTTGTTGATAACAAGAGAAAGAGATTCTAAAAACCCCGCTTAGTATTTAAGAGAAGAGAATTGACCAAAAGTAGAGAAGGTCTTGTATAGAAAGGCTCACTTGGAATCGAAGTTCTGTATCATACCTAAACTAAGAATAAGTATGAAAGTTTATGAACAATGTTTAACAAAGAGATTTCAGCCACGGAGATTTTAGATACTTACTTTATTTGAAATCTACTTACTGAGTATTTGCTCATTAGTTTTACCTTGTGATGCAAATGATGTTGTTGCAACCGAAGAGTAAAAAAAAAATGATTTCCAAGGTTGGTTGAGCACTCCAAGTCCTACATCTGACATCTTGCTTATATGTACTTCCAAATCATAGATGGGCTCAAAATGTTTTTTTTGTTACTATGTCACTTTTGAATAACTGTTTAATGTCTAAGATTTGTGGTTGTAATCATTTTGCACACTGACTCATTTTGTTCAAAAACCTTTACGAAAATTTTGTGATGAAATCAACTACAAATTTCCGCATCTTAAAAATGACATTATTTTAAGTATATAAAGTATGTTTTAAGTAGCTCCACATCGCTAAATTCAGCCTCAGACTGGTTTAGCGTTGGGGGTGTTAATGGTGATTTTCTGGATCCTAAATGCTGTGAGTCGAGACATAGCAGATAGCCTACTCTATATTGATTATGCAGCTGAGATCTGGTTAGATCTTCACGAGTGTTTCCATCAGAGTAATTGACCGTGGATTTTCCAGATGAAGACTCAGCTTGTGGCCCTGCATCAAGGTGCTCTTGATGTGAGCACGTATTTCACCCGATTGAAGATACTCTGGGAGGAGATGAAGTTGTACCAGCCAATCCCCGTTTGCCGTTGTGGAGGAATGAAGAGCTGGATGGAGTATCAACAACAAGAATGCGTGATGCAGATTTTGATGGGTTTGAATGAGTCCTTTACCCAGACTCGAGCTCAAATCCTCCTGATGAATCCCTTGCCGCCTCTACCAAGGTGTTTGCCCTTGTGGTGCAAGAGGAACGACAACGGGCAATCAACGGTGGGATTCTTGTTCCTACTTCTCTGGCCGTGGGAGACTTTTCTTCCTCTGCAGCCCACACTGCTACGGTGTCCAATTTCTCTCCGAGGCCCAGGAGAGACCGCCCAACCTGTACCCATTGTGGCCTACAAGGTCACACGGTGGACAAATGTTACAGACTTCATGGCTTTCCCCCTGGTTACAAGCCAAAGCCCAGCCTAAGCCATATGCAAACCAGGTTGCAGTAGTGTTGACTGAAGAGCGCACCTCAGACCCCACAGTCAGGGACCTAACTGCCACCCAATGCCAGCAGCTGATTGCTTTTCTGAGTTCTCAACTCCAGACCAATGCCTGCTCTGCTTCAGATCAGCAACAGCCCAAACCATCAATGTCAAGCTTCAGTGGTATTCTTTCCCTTTCTACAATCTTTGTTTTCTCTACTGCACATTTTCCTTCCACATGCTGGGTTCTGGACACAGGGGTAACACATCACGTTTGTTGCTCCTTATCATGCTTTCACGACTCTAAACCTATAACCAATTCCTTGGTTTCATTGCCCGCTCTTCACAAAGTTTAGGGTTAAGATTGTAAATAAGGATTTATTAGTTGATAGTTTGTAAATAAGACTAAATAGGTAGTAGTTTTTCTTATTTTTATTTTATGATGAGCTGGAGGTTTGTTGCAACAAACCTCTGCCCTCCTCATTTCCAGGGTGTATAAGGACCACCACTCTCTGGTTTTCCTTCCTAAGCTTTTCAGAATGCTTCACTCAAGTTTTTCCCTCAAGCCATTTTACTGGACGATGGACAATCGTGTGAATAAATTAATTAGAAAGCTCAACACGTGAATATTTAAGCCCGAAATACATTAAAGACCTAACACATAATGACAATTTAAATAGAGATAAAGTGTGCAATTACGGAGGTTTGAATTCAGGACCTCCCGCTCTGATACCATGTTAGTTTACCAATCCACCCCAAAAGCTTAAGCTGTTAGGAGGTGGGCCAACAATAGTTTTATATTTTAACATCATGAGATCAATTCTCCTATAAACCTTTGTCCCACCGAAAACTATTTTCTTCACAAAAGCAATATCACAGTCCCAATAATCGGAGATGGATCAGGATTAGAATTCAGTGGGTGCGCAAACAAGAATAAATTATACAAAGTGAAAGATTACGTAAAACTTTTATTACTTCTGAAA